ACATCAAATATTTTTAGTAGTTGCATCAATATGTAATCACAGTAAATTTTATATTTTAATAACTAATAAATCAATACTTACTTGAGAAATGGTACAACTTCGGGACAATTTAGCAACACATGAAGTGTAGCTGACTTGTACTCCATATCACTCAAACTTCTCTTTCTAACATCCTTAGAACATCGGCCTGGTTGATTGAATATGGACATTGGTGGATATAATGGATCATTCACACAGACCGCGTGCCTATTGGGCCTATTCCTAGAACATGGCACGTTACTCTCAAAATAATAAGAACAAAAATGTGCAGTTTTCTTTGCAAGATAGGCTTCGCATATAGATCCTTCAATCCTATTCCTCTGCTTAACAAATTATTTGCATTTGCCAATTGTCCTACATAATGTCATGTTAGCCAAGAACATTCAAATAAAACAGAAAATTACATCAAACTTATAATATTACCTCTCAAAGGGATACATCCATCTGCATTGAACAGGTCCTCCAAGTCGTGCCTCGTGTACAAGGTGGATTGGAAGGTGTTCCATCACATCAAAAAAATCACATGGAAATATCTTTTCCATCTTAGTAGAAGTTACACGAATGTTCTGATCCATCCGGAGTAGGTTTTCTTCCCTTAATGTGGAAGAACACAAGTCTTTGAAAAATAAACTAATCTCTGTGATGGGTTTCCAGATTCTTTCAGGCAAACCACAAAATGCAATAGGCACTAAGGTCTCCATGAAAACATGACAGTCATGACTTTTCAAATGGCTCAACTTCCCTACCTCCATATCTACTTTTTTCCAAAAATTCAACGCATAACTCTCAGGCATCTTCAATTTCGTTACCCAATCACAAATTTACCGTCTTTCCTCCAAAGTGAATGTGTAATTTGCTTTGGGCTTGAACACCTTACCATTGTTTGTTGTCTGCAAGTATGATTCAGGCCGCCTGCAATATTCTTGTAAGTCCATTCTAGCCTTCGGGTTATCCTTTGTCTTACCTTTAACATCCATCACTGTGTTGAACAAATTGTCAAAACAATTCTTCTCAATATTCATGACATCAAGGTTGTGACGGAGAAGATTATCCTTCCAACAAGGCAACTCCCAAAATATGCTCTGTTTCGTCCAATTATGAGTAACACCATATCCGGAAAATATATAAGGTGGAGCCTCAGTAACTTTACTGAAGTTCTGGACCCTCTCCCAAATTTCCTCACCTGAAAGTATCGGAGGTGGAGAATCATATTCTATTTTATTCTTTTTGAATGCATTTTTCATCCTTCTAAACTCATGACCATGATGCAAGAATTGACGGTGACAATCAAACCATGAATGCTTTTGGCCATGTTTCAAAGTGAACGCTTTACCATTTTCCATGCAGTAAGGACAAGCTAGCTTTCCAGCAGTCATCCACCCAGACAACATTCCATACGTAGGAAAATCGTTAATAATCCACATTAAATTAGCACGCAAATTGAAATTCTATTTGGTTGATATGTCATATGTTTCAAATCCATCATATCGCAACTGTTTTAACTCATCAATCAAAGGTTGCAAAATATACATCAATCAAACTTTTCGGATTACGTGGACCGGGGATAATACAATTTAAGAATATATATGGACTAGTCATACACAACTCAGTTAGTAGATTATAAGGCGTAAGAAAGACAGGCCAGCATGAATATGGTGTTGCAGATATAGAAAAAGGCGTGAAGCCATCCGCACACAAACCTAACCGAATGTTCCTTGGTTCAGTAGCAAAATCTGGATATGTCCTATCAAAGTGATTCCAAGCTTCTCCATCTGAAGGATGACACATAACACCAGGTGGTCTTCTATTTTCAAAGTGCCATCTCATATGAGGAGCAGAACTCATCGACGCATATAACCTCTTTAACCTAGGTATAAGAGGTAAATAATGCATCGCCTTGACAGCGACCATATTCCCGCTGGAAAGCCTCTTGAAACGACGCTTTTCGCAAAATTTACAACTGTCTAAAGTTGCATCATCTTTATAATATAACATGCAACCATCTTCACAACAATAAATTCTCATTGACGAAAGCCCTAACTTAGAAACCAATCTCTTTGCCTTATAGAAATCACTGGGTAAGTTGATACTAGGGTCAACTAGTTCACCCATAAGGTCAATGAAAGAGTCCATGGCTACTTGAGATATATTCCAATCAGATTTGACACTTAGTAAACTAACTGCAACAGACAACTCAGAGTGCGGACTTTCGTCACGTAGTTGACGACTAGCTTCCTCTAACTGTTCATAAAAATATTTTGCGTCATTATTAGGAGTTTGTTCAACATTTTCATTGGGCTCACCGCCGAAGTGCATCCCAAAAGCATCTGCAATCATATCCTGAATTCTAGAATCAAGATTTGTATTCTCCACCGACCTACTACTTTCACCAACAACCATGTTATGAAATATCCTACGGCTACCATCGATCTCTCCATGATTAGTCCACACAAAGTAATTCTCTATAAACCCCTTCCTATGAAGATGAAGCTTAACTTCCTCCGATTTTTTAAACTTCATACAATCGCACTTGACATAAGGGCACCTAATTACTCCTTCACTTTGGTATGGTGGAAGTGACATTGCATGTCTACAAAAGTCATCAACACCTTCTACAAAATCCTCCCGCAATCCCCGCCGATTAGGATAATTCCTATTGTACATCCAAGTACGATGTTCCGTCTATACAAATAAAACAAGAACAAATTAATTTATTCTACGATTATAGATTAATTAATTTTTTTTAGTTAATTCAAGATAATTATTTTTCCTAATTACACCAAAAATTAAATTATATTAAATATAATTAATTATAAATTAAAAGTTCAATTTATATCCTAAAAAGTTCAATTCATATCCAAAAGGTTCAATTTATATCCTAAAAGTTCAATTCACAAGAAAAAATCCTAAAAACTGAAAGTTCAATTCATATCCTATGAGTTTAAACATAAACTAAAAGTTCAATTTATATCCTAAAAATTCAACCCATACCCAAAAGGTTCAATTTATATCCTACAAGGCCAATTCATATCTTAAAAGTTCAATTCACAAGAACAAAACCTAAAAACTAAAAGTTCAATTCATATCCTACGAGTTTAAACATAAACTAAAAGTTCAATTTATATCCTAAAAATTTAACTCATACCCAAAAGGTTCAATTTATATCCTACAAGTACAATTCATATCTTAAAAGATCAATTCACAAGAACAAAACCTAAAAACTAAAAGTTCAATTCGTATCCTACGAGTTTAAACATAAACTAAAAGTTCAATTTATATATTACGAGTTTAAACAGAAACTAAAAGTTAGGATTATATCCTAAAAATTCAACCCATACCCTAAAAGTTCGATTCACAAGAACAAATCTTAAACCCTAGATTCTAACTAAACTATTCAAGACAATACAAAGTTAATAACTCAATTCTAACTAAACTATTCAAGACAATACGAACTCAAACATTCAATAATACCATATGTAATCAATTCAATTAAAACAAGACCTAAACCCTAGATTTCTATAAAATACAATGTTAGATAATCAATTGAAACACTAATCAATTGAAACTAATTCATAGCTAATAAACAAAACATTAGATTTATACACAAAAGATATAAGTTGTAATTCAAACCTAGAATTTNTGTATTGAGTGGGAGTTAAGGAAATTTTGAGAAGAGAGGTATGAAAAAATGGGGGGAATCCCGTATATTTCAGATCTGTTTTCAGACTTACCGACCAAAGTTGGTCGGTACAGTAAGTGATGACTGTTTGACCATAGCGTCAGGTTCTTTTAGGTATAGACTTGTGAAGATCCTAATTAGTATATATAATTTATCATCAAATATATCTATTTGTAAATTGATTCATCGACTTATAACTTACTTAGATGCATTGTTGAATATTAAAAACAAAACGTTTTGACATATATATATATATATAACACGCTTCGTTGTACTACTTTAACTATATATATAGCATGTTATAGTATATGTTAGTGTATTCATTATTTGTATTACAAAAGTGTTAACGGATTACATTTATATTATTTAGATAGTAAATATAAAAGCGATTCATAATTTTAACCAATGTTGACCTAATAACGACCAACTTTGGTCGGTTATTTTCCAGAAAATAAAATATACCAACCAAAGTTTGTCGGTAAATGCTTGCCCTGCATTAACCGACGAACGTTGGTCGGTAATTTAAATATTAAATTCTTTAAATTATATAAAATATTTTAAATAATAATATAACTATTAAAATTTAAAAAATTGGGTCCACATTACAGACCAAAGTTGGTCGGTAATGTGAAAGTTTCTTTGACTAAGCAAAACTAGTGTGATAGGTATGTGCTATTTTCTGTTTTACACGCATACCGTCATCTTGATTATTATGCTGTCTGTGTTTTTAGTATTTCTGTATATCTATACATATATTTGAGCATATAGAGCTTATTTCCATTTTTTTTTAATTTTCATCTCTATGAACTTATTGGGAGTTTGTTGTTTTATAGTGGGGGTGGATTTACGGGGTAAATTATGAGGCACGTGAACCCATGGTCTTTCCGTTAAACTAGGTATTTTATGTATGTACTTTTCTAGAATTAGTCTATCATTATCTGATGGCACCCATGCTCGACAAAGCCTGAATGGTGCACTTGGTTAAATACTGAGTTATTTAGCCAAAAGAATAGAGATTAGTTCCCACTTAATACTACTTTTTTTTGTCCTTCTTTAATGGTGCACCCATGTTTTAGAAATGCTAGATCCGTCTCGGATTTATAGCTTTTATTCAGTAGAATCAGCATAAACATCTAAATCAGCTTCAGAGAATTTTTTTATGTACTTCCACTGATTACCTTTTATGCTTTACCAGTTGACATATTATCAACATTATAGTGATGCATCTAAACAGTAAGGATCATTTTTATGTTAGCATTAAGACTATCCCTTAAACTAATTAAATAATCTGAATGTTTTGAAATTAAAACAATCAACCAATTAAATAGTCTCATAATTGATACTACAGGATATACACATACGTAACTCTTAGCAAGAGCATGGGGTAGCCACTGCAAGCAAAGGAGATTTCCTGTAAACAGTGAGGCCAGCAGGGGCTTCAGTCATATCTAAATCTTCCCCTTTTATCCCGTCTGGTAATGCAAAATCGAACTTGTGCACAAGTCTTGCTAATGCTATCTCATTTACTGCAATAGCAAAAGTAATTCCAGGGCAGCCCCTCCGCCCCGCGCCAAATGGAATTAACTCTAAGTGTAATCCTTTGAAATCTATAGCACTACTCAGGAACCTTTCTGGTCGGAACTCATCTGGATTTTCCCACAGCAACGGATCTCTTCCGATTGCCCAAACATTCACAATGGCTTGTGTTCCAGCTGCTATTTGATATCCCTTTAGTTTTACATCTTGTCTTGATTCTCGAGGGACTAGTAATGGTGCGGGGGGATGAAGCCTGAGGCTCTCTTTTATGACTGCTGTCAAGTAGTGCAGGTTTCCTAAATCATCCTCTGTTACCTCTGGTTTTCCCTCGGCAACTTGTCTCACCTCATTCTGCAATTTTTCCATGGCTTTTGGATGCCTCAAAAGTTCTGTCATTGTCCACTCTAATGTTGTATATGTTGTCTCCGTACCAGCACCAAACATATCCTACGTGTTTGAAAGAAACACAAAACAAACTATTTTCAGTTCTTCTTAAGTTTTACTTTCCTGTTATTCATTTGTTTCCAACGTTGAGCTGTAGCCAACAAAGGGACTAAATTACGCTCCAGTTATACTCATAAGGAGTGGTGGAAACAGGATTTTCACCAAAAGGATTCAAAAGATAAATAAAAGTAAACACGCGAAGAAGCTAAGGAACTCAGCATCAAATATATATACATAAAAAAGAAAAAAATCTTATATACACAATGTAATATTGGGATACTGAGTTTTTGAGGAAGCATGTGATGCGTACCAGGAGGATAGCTTTTAGTGAATCTCTTTGAAGAGGAAAATCAGTCACGTTTTGTTTCTGAATTTCAAGCAAAACGTCCACCAAATCTTTAGCTTTTCCATTAGGAAGTTCACTTTTATCTCCTGTCATATGTTCATCAAGCACCTCCTCCATAAATGTATCCAACTCTTTAGCTACTTTCTCGATTTTATTGTCCAAACCATTGATCTTGTTCACCCAATCAAGCCATGGAATATAGTCACCAATGTTAACAGTACCTAATAATTCAGCAAGTGCCCCTAGCACGGTCGTCTTAGTATTCTTCCCACCTTCCACTTCATCATACCTCCTCCCAGAGGCCACTCTGCTAATTACGTTATTAGTTAGGGAACTCAAAACATCTCTCAAATCTATCACTGAACTCGATGCTTGTTTGATTTTTTGGATCATATTTGCCGTTTCTTCTTCTCTAATGTCCCGAAATGATCGCACTCTTTTGTTGCTTAGAAGATGAAGCACAGAAATGCTTCTTACTTGCTTCCAGTATTCACCATAGGGACAAAAAGCAACATCTTTGGAGCCATAGAGGATTCTATCACAGATGCTTGATTTAGGTCTATTCGAAAAGACCAGATCGTGGGTTTTCATGATGTCGCATGCAGCATCAGCCGAAGAGGCAATGAGCACTGGCTTACTGCCAAAGTGAAGCAGCATGAGTGGACCATGTTGCTTGGATAGTTTCTGGAGAGCGCGGTGAGGAAGCGGGCCAAGTAGGTGAAGGTGTCCTAGAATTGGAAGCTTTGGTGGAGATGGTGGTAATTTCTTTTGGTTATGTGAAGTAGCAAAGAACCATTGATGAAGGAAGAGGATGAAAATTAGTACAGGAACTACAAGTGAATACCAGGGGAAAGCCATTTGTTTCAGTAAGGAAGGAGTTTGCCAAATGCTATGCTATAATATGTATTACAAGACTGTTTTACATATCTATATATAATAATACAAGCCTAAGATTTTGTTTGACGTACGTAGAGGAAGGTAGATTTTGTTGAAGTTAGATTTTGCTAACATATCTAGAGAAACTTAGTTTATGCTATATTTTCTTTCGCTTTGAAAGCTCTCCTAAACTCACGTTAGCTGATGGAGTAATACTTAAGGTCCACTAATGATTTTTATTTTATTGTTTTTTGGCACGTAAACTCAAATGTTCTGTGATAAAGGATGAACAGTGCATATTTTGAGTGTGTTTGTCTGTTATTTCTTGTATGAGTTGCGGGAGTTCACACCGCTTTTAAAGTGAAAATATGCTCATTACGTGTTTCTTATGTGTAGGAACAAACTTATACGAAAAATGATCAAATAAGAGAAAAATTGGTAAAAAAAGAGCTGAAGAGAAAAGTCCTGGACAGCGAAGTGAGGTTCACTTCGCCAGACCGGGACCGGAGCAGAAGAAACTAGAAAGGTCCCGGACAGTGAAACGATGTTCACTTCGCCAGACCGGGACCGGAGCAGAAGAAACCAACTTCTCCAATCCGAAATAGAAGAAGGAAAATTCGCCCCATACAAATTCTAGTCGCTATAAATACATCCTAAAACGTGCTTTTGAGGGAAAAACACTACTTTGGAGGGAGAGAGGAATTTAGGGAGGCAAGAACACACTAGGAGCAAGGAGGAGAATTCTTCTACGAGTTTTTCACTTTCTTCTTCCTATTTTCATTGTTGTAGTTGTACATATTGCTAGGTTTCAAATTTTATTTTTTTAGTATTTGATTTTTCTTTTAATTTTATTTTTACTTCTTGATTTGGGAAACATGACATCTTGGAATTATGAGAGTTTCGATATTGGTAATTCTACTATTGATCTTCCTTGTGCTTATTGTGGAGGAAATCACCTATGGCAAACTTGTCAAAATATTCCCGAAAGCGAGTTATGCACACCAACTCAATCTTATGTGTGGAATGTATGTGATATTTGTGGCGGTCAAGATGGTCACTTTTATGGTTGTGCTTGTATTTCTTATCCTCTCCAACCCCTTATTATGATGGTTCTACTTTTTCTTGTGAGGTTAACAAGAACAAAGAACTCAGGGATGACCTAATAAGATCAAAGATATGTTAAAATGCCTCATGGAACGAAGTAATGAGAAACAACTGCAAATACAAAAGCAATGTGATACTATCCAAAGACAAGAGGCAACTATTCTTAACCTGGAGGCACAAGTGAGTCAATTGGTTGAAGAATTTAATGCTCAACAAGCTGATATTGTGGATAGTAGCAAAAAAGAGCATGCATTAGATGCCGAAATTGAGGTACTAATGGAGGAAGTCAGAGTAGAACACCAACAATCTATCCAATTACAGTTTGAGGATGCCGATATTGTAGAAGAGATACTAGAGTCAATCAAGGACATTGATGATACACATTTAGATGACTCTAGTGTCGTTGGTGTTGAGGATGTTGACAGTCCAAAAGTTCATGTAGTTGAGTGCATTGGTCCATACTCCAAGCATTTTTTCACATTGTGTTTGGATGATGATATGAAGATAGAGTCCTTCGAGCCAGTTGGGGAGTCAAGGAATGAGCCAGAAAGTCAGGATTACATACTTCATGCAAAGGCTAAGTGCAGAATACTATATTATTTTCTTGGGGTAGTTAGATTTGTTCCACCACCCTTTGAGCATAGTAGAAAACTTGAAGAAAAACTTGGGTTCAATTCATAAGCTCGAGGTGGAGGCAAAAAGTGATTTGCATCGTGCCACGACGTTAAATCAAGCGCTTGCTGGGAGGCAATCCTACTTTACTGCTTTCTTTTTTTTATTCTATTATTTTTTATTTTTTTATTACTGTATTATTCTTGTAGCGTTGTTTTTAAATTCTCTAGGAGCATGAGAAGCAAGGTCACTGGAAGAAAGCAAAAGCAAGCCAGAAGGTTAGAACTAAGTGTTGGGTGCCTACACAAAGAATTAAGTCTGTGAGAAATCTAAGTACCCCATGAATTCCTAATGCTTCGGCCTTTGGCCTACCATGGAGTTTCTTTGACCCTCTTGTATTTATAGGTGTGCATACAATGCATAATTGTAAGTGTGGGATGAAGAAACTGTTTGGGTAATTTTTTATGCTATATTAGTGTGTTGAAAAAAAGATCAAAAATAAAAAAACTAATTAGGTTGAAATAATCACTCTTGGTTTCTTATGGCCATGGTTCTTTTTCAAGAGATGACTCTTTGAACTGGGTCGCAGTTTTTTCTTATAAGTAGAATTTTCAAAAAGTTTTGAACATTTCCCGACAATAGACTTCCTAGATAGTTTTCTTGAGGGTATAAAGTCCAAAGAAAAATACAAAAAGATTTTCGTTTTTTCTTTTTGAACTCATAATGGAATGGGGAGAACTTGAGTATCTATATTTTTTGACATATTTTATATCGGGGCTTAGAGGTGGATCATTTGCACTAAGTACTTTCTTTATGGTCTTTGTAATTACATGTCTTGAAAATATGTGTGGCTTTCTTTTGACACTGAGGCTCATCTTTTGACTCTTGTGATTAATTCTTGTGTACTTAAATTTATGATGGCTGTGCTAGTTGCTTTAACTTAAGAGTCAGGTCCGAGCCATCCTGAGTGAGTCATGTACATTGTGTGAGGTGAGATTTTGGTGTACTCTGTGCCATCCTTGCTAGTGTAGAACTTGCTCCGTGTGTCAGCCGAAGCGAAATGATTAAGTCTTGTAAGTTTGGGAAGTGACATAGGCTTTCTTTGATTGACCAGTTAGCTTATTTTCCTACCAGTGCTAATATTATCTGTAGTTAACCCTTTTGCGCCTGTAGACCTTTTTTTGACAACCGCATTACAAGCTAATCCCCTATGTTTTTAATGAAACCTTGTAGAACCTTTACCTCGAAAAGCACTTAAGTAGCTAGAAGAGTAAAGAAAAAGATTGTGTAGCTTTTGAGTGGAACCATAGAGAGGCTGACAAGGTGCACTTTTGTACAAACAAAATAAAGCTACTAGTCCAAAATACCAAATTAAGGAGACTGAATGACAAAAAAAAGAAGAAAAAATGAATAACACCTCTCATATCTTTTTCTGGGATAGTGAATATCTATATGTTGATGTGCGTAATGAAGAAGGGCCTAAATGTGTATGGTTCCATGGGAAGACATCGAATTGGACATGACAAGATGGTGCTTCAAAGTGAAGTATAGTGTATTAAAATGCTTAGGAGGGTTAGTCACAATTTTCTCAAATATATCTTGCATGTCCCTTAGCCTACATTACAACCTATAAAGTTCTACTTTATCCTAGATATTACGAGCTTAAATTAGTAGAGACCTATACTACGGGCAAGCCTATGGTACGAATTTGGGTGGCATAAGAGTTTCTTTGTGAAAGTGAGCCCCGATCCCCTATTTCTTGTCCCCTTCGCTTCATTTTATGCTTACATGACTTGCCGGGGTGCTTGGTGTTGGGTTCGGGAGAGTTTCAGAGTGAAATAGGACACATAGTCCCTAAGTGTGAAGTTTGAGTTGTAAATGTTAATCGTAGTTTGATCTGTGTGAAGATGACTCGAAAATGGAGTTTTGTCGGTTCCGAAGCTCCATATGGTGATTTTGGTCTTAGGAGCGCATCTAAATGTGGATTTGGAGGTCCATAAGTCATTTCGGCGTTATTTGGCGAATGTTAGAAAATTGGAAGATTTTTGAAAAGTTTGACCAAGAGTGGACTTTTTGATATCGGGGTCAAATTCTAATTTCGGAAGTTAGAGTAAGTCCGTAAGATCAAATGTGACTTGTGTGCAAAATTTGAGGTCAATCGGACGTATTTTGATAGGTTTCAATATCGTTTGTAGAAGTTGGAATTTCCTAAGTTCATTAAGCTTGAATTGGGGTGCGATTCGTATTTTTAGCATTGTTTGATGTGATTTGAAGGCTCGACTAAGTTTGTAGGATATTTTAGTACGTGTTGGTATATTTAGTTGAGGTCCCGGGGGCCTCGGGTGTGATTCGGACGGCGCATTTCGAGACTTGGTAGGAATTCTGAAGTTTGCTGGTTTTTTCGAGTTCTGGTGTCATTCTATGCGTTCGCGATGATCATCTCGCATTCGCGTAGAACATTTTGAGCCTTGCTGAGTTTTACCTTTCGCGTCGCAAAGTGGGCCACGCGTTTGCAAAGGGTCAGGTCATTGTGCACTGGGATCGCGGACGAGGAGCCGCGTTCGCAAAGAGGTAAGGCAGCTTGGGTGGGCTCTTGAGGCAATAGCTTTTTGTGCTTCGCGAATGTGAGGCAATTTCCGCGTTCGCGAAGAAGGAAATACTTGGCAACTTTAAAAGTTCAAAATCGATGGTTTATGTCATTTTTCATCATTTGGACTTGAGAGCTCGGAATTAGGAGATTTTTGGAGAGATTTTGACGTGGGTGTTTGGGGTAAGTGATTCTTAACTAATTTTGATTAATTTTCGTGATTATGCCTTTGATTTCATCTTTAAATTAGTGATTTGGGGTAGAAAATTGGGGAAAATTAAGGAAAAGCTCTTAGGTCGAATTTTAAAGTTTTGATTGAGATTTTGGTATCGGATTTGAGTAATTTTGGTATGGGTGGACTCGTGGTTGAATGGGTGTTCGGATTTTGTTGCTTTTACCCGATTTCGAGACGTGGGCCCGGGTTGACTTTTTGGGGCGATTTTTTAATTTCTTGTTAAAGTCGTGATTTAATTAATTAGATTAGTTTCTTATAGTTATATCCATAGTACGAAATTACTTTTGGCTGGAATTGAGCCATTCGGAGTCGGAAAGTCAAGGGAAAGGCATCCTTATTACTGATTGAGCTTGGTTTGAGGTAACTGACTTGTCAACCTTGTGTGGGGAAAATCCCTTTAGGATTTGGTATTGTTGTAAAAATTTGTGATATGTGACTGCCCTGTACGCGAGGTGATGAGTGTGTACGCGGGCTAATTGTTTAAA